CTAAAAACGCAGTCAGGTTCTAAATCTAGAGGACACTAAAGTTGAAAGTTTGATAATGCTTGTCGAAGCGTACGTTGTCATCGCAACAACAGACAGCATAACGAACATTTTTGAGCTCATTCGGGAATCCTTTTTACGTCTTTGTGGACCTTGTTATTAAGTCAGCAAGAACCGCTTTGAACAACTACTTAATAATAAATGAAATATGATTTTTGTAGTTGGCAAATTCGTAATATCATTTGTTGTTGTTTGAAAAAGCGAGATCAAATGGGTTTTTCCCAATTTTCATCATCATAGCTTAGTTGGGGATTCCATCTCTAATTTTGCTGCCTATTTCTTAAGAGTATTGATTGGATACTTTTAACAAAAATATCTCATCTAATTTTACTTCTAGTGTAAGCCCCTAGATAATAATTCGAATCAGTTTAACGTACTTAAGAAAATATTAATTTGATGATACATTTTATTTTATTAAAAAGAGCGTTTAAAATCACAAATTCATTCATTAAAATTTACACGCGTTTCGATGTCACAATGCCGATGTCACAATCTTCATTTTAACCAATTAATGAAAGTGTGTCAATGTGATGCCGAAACACAAATAAGTTTTAATAAAAAATGTTACTATTTGAGATTTTTAACCTTGTTTTTAATGAAATTTAATTTAAAACAAAATTGAAAATACGTAGGCATATATATGTATATATATTAAAAAATTTTCTGTGAAACACTAGCCAGCTAGTTGCATTTACGGTCGCTTTTATGTATTTGGTACATTTATCTTTCATAATACCTTAAAGCATGGTATTAAAGCAATTTATTCGGTTAAATTTACTTTCTAGTTTTGTATTTATGCATTTTTTGTATGTTTTTATGTTTTTAAGCTCAACTTCCTCGTTTAAGTTTCGTCAGCTTTTTATAAGCACTGGCTTTGTTTTTCCTATTTAAGACTGTTTTATAATCTCTGATGTCTGTAATTTATTTTTTGGCAAGGATTTTAAAACTACATATCATAATAAAGGTGAGGATTGCCAATAAGGGTGACTTAAGATTTAATTATTTGAAGTAGATGAACCCATCTATTAATGTATATACGTTGATTTAAATTACCGCTTTCCAATTATCAGGAAATTCGGAAAAATTCTGAATTTCAATTCATTTATCGTAAGATATTTTTTTAAATTGTTCACAATTCACTTGCATTTCTTAGAGATGTATTAATGGCTTCTGCATATCACTTTTTCATACTATTTCCTTTAATTATGAATATAAAAATGGCAGCAATAATTTTAAAAAACAAAACTCATTTGCATATTTCTTGAAGCTTACTTTATTTACAGGAAACATTTTACATATCATGATAGCGATAATTAATATCACAAGAGAAATATGTTGTTTTGAAATTTTCTGAAATTTTTATTAATTCTTTCTGCACATCATCATTTAAAAATTGCTTTAATTTCAGAATATTTCCTTTAATTATAAATATAAAAATGACAACAATAATTTTAAAAAATGAAACTCATTTGCTTAGTTCTTGAAGCTTACTTTACTTAAAGGAAAAATGTTAAGTATCACGATAGCGACGATTAATAACACAAGAGAAATATGTTATTTAGAAATTTACATTCATTGTACTTTTTTTACGAAAATACAATCATCAATGGAATTATATAAATGGAGAAGTATTAGTAGCTTACGAGCTTACATTCAAAAGGATACTTTGTTCAGAATGATGTTCAGATAATCTTACATTTACCAAATTTTTTGGCCTGAAGCCATTAAAAATATCCAAAATAGAGAAAAACTCTTACTTTAAAGTGACGTAAAGTATTTATTAAACAGATGTAATTTCACATAAGAAATTTTGCTTAGAAGTTGGAGAATTTATTAATAGGAGAAGCTAGAGACTGTATTTCCTTTTCTCTACAATTCATTAATAAATTGTTGCATAAGTAGTTAGCTCTTCCAATTCTTAAATTTTCATTGTTATTTTCTATACTTTCCATTTTTTCTTTGATCTATTGATAAATAGGCTTAATAGTCACGTATGTATTACTTGTATGATTTACATATTTACAATGAAGAGTTTTTTTTTTTACAGTAAAATGTTATGAATGAATAAAAAATGCTAACGTTTTTTCCAGTTATAACTGACGTGTCTAAAAAATTATGAGTTGAATTCAGTCATGTATCCTTTTAAAATAAAAAAGATTGTTTAAGTATTCAAAAAAAATTACCTGCATCGCTTTAATTTAGTTCGTGGTATAGTATTTTATAAATTTTTAAGACGATAAGGAACATTCACAAATTTTTCTCAGAAATTATCGAAGGATTTTTTATTAGCTCCTAAATTATTAAAAATTTCCAAACAAATCCTGAATGAAAAACAAATTTAGAGTGCTAGCTGTGTTTATTATAATACTATTAAACAAATGAGTTATGAATGACTAACAAAGCAATACTTGAAATGCTAGCTCTACATACGGTGTGGCAACTAAATAATAGGACTGATTTTTGTTTGACTTTTTTTCACATTATTGAAGGTGTAGGTAACCATACTTTCCTTATATTACTACTTTTTGGATCACAAGATGAGAATAGTTTGCCGGCAACGTCTGTCCGAATAGAAGCTAGACAAATGCAATCCAAATGGAAATATTCCAACCGAGTAGGTACTTAAGTAGTCACTCTGTTTCGTTATATCTTTCAATGAGTCCATTTAAATTTTGAGATGAGTTTAGTAGGACATCTTTCAAAACATAGGAAACGTTATAAAAAGACTTCACGGATCTTTACCGAGATTGTTAAATAGAACTAAGATAGAATCATGAGAACATGGTGTATATTGATTCAATAACGATGCGGACCGGATGGATGGAGAATCAGTTTTAAGAATAAACAGTTTTCAAGTTAAAAAATCAGTCGGGAAAAATGCGCCAAACACATTCAATTCAGGAGTTTCATAGAAACAATTAATAAATGTTTTATAAAAAAAAATCGAATTTTGCATCAACGTTTGATAAGATAGGATCATATATTTAAAAAGAAATTTTGTTATCTCTACGGAACGAGTTTCGCATTACACTTGGTAAAACTACTGAAAAAAGATGAGAAATATTGCAATTATGTTTCATAAATTTTTCATCACGACAAATAGTGGAACAAAAATATCATGAAAAGCGAGGTACCGATTAACAAAGTCCATATAGAATAATCATGGCCAAAAAATCAATTCATATCACTAATATAAGAAAGTCAGAGAATAAAATTATGCAGTGCTGATAAACTTCCCTCAGTTACATGAAATAACACTGAGGAACTCTTTTTTTTTTTTAGTTTTCTCTTGCATAATTTTTTTTACAGATCTCGAATGCTTTCGCATAACTGATTTCACATCTGCAATCGATTTCTCTTACCAAGCTACAGTTTTTTTAAAATGAGATTTTCAGTCTATTTTTTTTGTCGAAATTCCTAACTTTAAAAGCGTCATATATAACAAACTTGTGAGGGAGTTGGGGCACATCATCATGACTAAAGTTTGATATGAATCTGTCCCTGGAAATGTCATCATACGCCACTAGGGGAGCTTCTCCTTTTATGGACTGTTTCTTCGTGTGCTTCTGAACATGTCATAAAAGGAAGCACCCCGAGTCGCTTTCGACCACATTTTGGGGCATGAGTTCTTATGCAGTTTTAATCATGATGATGTGACCTAACCTCCGACCCTCTGTTATATATAAAGTTTTTAAACCTGCACACATAAAAAATCTGGGATAAAAATGTTAATTTAAAAAAATTGGAGCTTTAGGAGCAAAATTTAGATTTGAAATCCCCAGTCTCGAATTGGGTAAGTTCAAGTATTTGTGTAAATCCAACCGAAAAATTGTTCCCCAGTGCAATTAATAGAGTTTGTCATCAGCATTTGTAAGAAATAAAAAATGTGAAATTTCGTTATTTCTATGAAACGAGTTTCGGCTTAAAGTTTGGTAAAACTACTGCAAAATTTTAGAAATTTTCAGCATGAAAATTATCAAAATTAATCGTGGTATTTATTAATAAAATAAAAGAAGGATTAACTATAGGCAGTGAGTCAGCTCAGATATTGCAAATGAAAAATTCAGGGACAAAAATTAAACAATGATGATGAACTATTCCCAAAACAAGTATTTTCATTAAGGCCATTTCTTGAACTTTCTCAATCTTGACAGTTGACGTCATGAAAGAAAGCGACACAACTGAAGAAAAATGTATAACTTAATAGTTTCTTGCATTGTTTTCAGTATTTCAAGTCCCAATCTAGTGTAGTTGGGATATGAGAAGATAACATCAAGAAGGTAATTTACTTCATCGGGTAATTGCTATTAAAATTTTGAATAATTGTTACTTAAATCAGTCCTGTTTTCCTTTACCGCCACGCCATCGAAACTAATAAAATACTACAGAATAATGTTCAAAATATAAAAAAATGACTTCTTTCACTTGCATATTCAGTCCTCTCAGATTTTTATTTTTTATTTTATAACCGTCGTTGAACAGCCGACCCAGTTTTATGGATTAACAACTACTAATGTTCAACTCCGTAGCCTTGTAATTTTGAACTCCATCGAGAAGACAAGGGAGCTCCTGGACCGAGTATTGGGAGAAATTTGCTTTTGTGGAGGACTTTTTGATGGAGCTAACCCGCATTTGTGTTATATGGAGAGGAAGATCCACGAGAACTTCCCATGGTTAGCCTGACGACAAGGGAACTCTAACCCATGACCCGTCTACCGCTGAGGATATTTCACGTCAGCACTGTGATGGGTGCAAGCCGGATGCGGAATTCGTATCGACTGGTATTCGAACCCGGATCACCTCTTTGGAAAAAGGGGTGCTCCATTCCCTGAGCCCTCGCGGCTCAATTCTCTCAGATTGAAAAAAAAAAACATTACACAGTGCTTTCCATACATACTACTGAGAGCAACTGGCATCAAAAACTTTTGAACATTATTCAATTTGTCAGCATAGGAAATTATACAATTCACAATCTTTTGATAGCACAAAATTTTATTTCAAACACAGTTTACTCATTTCTCAAAATTTATTTCTCTGTTAAAAAATCCATTCATACTTTTTCATTTGTGAACCAAAATTATTACATTATCTGTAATAGTTGAGATTTCATGATCACTCTGTTATCATATCTGAAATAGTATCTACTTTCTGTCTATTAAAGCTATATTAAATGATTTTCCGTATAAAAGCGTTTGCACTAATACATAAAATAATTCAGTTGCTATTCTAATATTTTTTTTCTTACAAAATAAATTTATATCAGATGTCCGAAAGATAACCGACAATATGAAAAATTGATTAAAGAAAAATAAAAAGAAGTTGAATTGCACGGTTTTCTACATTATGTTTAGGAAATTAGATTATTTATTCTCAACAAACTTTAAATTTAGTTACAATATTTACCAACAGATTGCGCTGTTAGTTCGAAAAAATATAAGACAATGTTTTCTGCTACACTGTCTATTACTCCTTCTGATATTTTTGTCTTCAGACTAAAACATATAGTTGTTGGAAATGGTGATTATTTTCACGATATTTTATGGCCAAGAGTCCCATCTGTTGATGAACTTCTGTGAGTAATTTTGAAATATGGTAAGAATAAATTATCTGGTTTCTTACGAGGAACGCAGCAATCATGAATTTTCATATCCTTTTATTTTTCTTTAATTATTTTTCTTTTCAATGTATCGATCATTTTTTGGAAATCGACATTTTTTCTAGTTTTTCAATATAATAGACACATACATTATTCAGATTGTGCGCTTACACGTGATTAATCACTGTACAAAAACGGCAATATATTTGCAATCATGAATTTACAATCATTATGAGGCTAAACATTTATTGGAATAAACCGTATAAATTCATAATAAATAGTAAAACCTAAAAAATATTTTTTTTTCATTTGATGTAGCAAACTTTAATGAATGCCAAAAGTTATCAGTAGTGCCAAAAAGCATTTTCCACTTAAAACAGCATGTTTAAATATAATAGAGTTGGAAGTATTTATTTTGTATGCAATTTCATAAAAACTATTAATGAAATTTTTTTTACGTTAAGCAAATAAAAACTTAACATTTTTTTTCCGCGCTTGTAAAAAGTTATCTAAGTTAACATTGATGCTATGAGGCTATTGGCAGAGAACACTGAAGCAATCATTATCGTCAAATTTCCATCGTCATTTCCAGTTACGTTCTCTCCTCAGCGGCTGGCTGGCTTCTCACAAATAGCTAAAGCATGCTTTGATGCAGGCTATTTGCATATGAAGCGTACATTCATTGACAAGTAGAATTTTATTTGACAATCTGAAAAAGAAAAGTCAACATTCACTAAAATTTAATATAAAATAATTTTTTTTTCTGTTGATAAAGTAATTCACAAATCACAATTAGACACCTAAATCAGTACTCATAATGTGAACTGGGCACCTGCCGCTGGAAAAGAAGTGAAGTGATTATGCTTAAACCATTTTAAATTAGATTTAATTAAATTCCTGTAAGCGGCATCACGCGTGTGTGTCAAACCTGATTGGTTTCTGAATCGGCAAATGCCACGATGAAATCGCTTGCAGATATCCAATTGGATACGTTCAAGTGACACAGTTTGGGTATCTCGATCCTGATTGGTTGTTGAAACGTGGCATTTGTTTACGTTATAAACTGTTCTTTTCATTCTATTTTGAGAAAGCCAAGCTCATCAAGTACCAATTCGCTTAGGTGACACATTCTGAATTCTTTCTCTAAGATTATTTCTCAAAGATTTAAATTCTTTCCCTACATATTTCTACATATTTATACAGAGACTTTACAGAAAGACAGGCATGAAGCCATGTGGAACATAAACTATCTAATTACGCATTGAAGTTGCCAGGTACACTAAACAAAAATATATCACGGTTATAATAAAATACATAAACAAATAATGAATCTAAGTTAAATAAAAGAAGTAGACGAGAAAGAATTATATTTCAACTAATTCGATGTTCGTTAACTAACATTCTAACCTAAATAGAGAGACCTAGCTCTACTTTAATACGCCATTTTGCTGTTACAGACTAGCTTATGCAGACGTCATGGGTCATATGGGTGGGGGTATGGGAGGTCTTCTTCTTGAAGTGGAAGTACTCAATTGCGACAAAATAATATTTTGTTGAAACAATGCAACAACAGTACCATTTCTGATATTATTAAGAATTTACTTAAATGTAGGTAAAATACAATTTCGAACTTTGATTTAGTGAAAGAAGTAGACTTTAACGGGTATACTTCGCTTCAATAAATTATAAATAGCTAATATATTTGTTAGATATAACTATAATACATTCCTATTATTATAATTCTTAACCTATTCACAGTACAGTGTTGTTTCAGGACGAATTTAAGTTTTGTTATAACTGTTCGAATGTAAAATAATAACTAATATGTAACAGGGTATAATTCTTCCCTTTTTTTTTTGTTTTGTTTACATGTGCAAATCTGCATGTAAATAGTAAAACCATTGAAAATAGTTGAGAAGAGACCAAATATTATATTTTAAATTACACTAATTATTATTTTTTGTTGATAAAATAAGAAAACTCTTTAAATATTTTATATATAATATCTATTTAAAAATGTTTATATTTTCAGATTTCACTCTTAACGGCTGAAATTAAAATTTTAAAATACTTTAAAATATTAAGATAAAGTATTTTGAATAATACTGTCAAATTTGCTTTATACAGCCTAGATTTAAATAAATGTAGAACGAAACTAAACTATCTTTTAAAATGCCGCATTCAACCCAAGCCCCTAAAAACTGTCTGCCAGTCGTTATCTACATCACGTGACTCATAAATAAAATGCGTGGGTGTGAGCTTTATAACATGCATTTGCTTGGATTTTCTTCATAATCATCTAAGATCGTAAACAGAAACGAATCTCATCCTTAGATGGTGATTCTTCTTTGAATAATCCCTCCAGTTAAGACTCTTTCCTTCAAAAAAATAAGGTAAGCAATGACCTTTAAATTTAAACTATCCTTTGACATTTAAAAATTTTTTACTGCTATATTTCATAATTCTGCCACAAAAGTTTACAGAAATTTGATATTTAAATTTTTTTATATTGTGTTTCGGTAAAGTATATGCTATACTAACATTAGAAATGAGTAAAAACAGGCGTAGACAAGATTTAAATTTCATTTTTTAATTAAAGCACAATTTTCATCATCAAATTTTCATTATATTATAAAATTAATAAATTATGTAAAAAAAAATTAGTTATGAACACATTGCAAAAAATTGCGGCAGCAAAATATTTTAGTTGAAAGGATTCAATAAGGAGATGATGTAGACTAACGGTTTGACTACTAATGATTACTAGTAAATTATCGAAATACTTAAATATACGTACAATGTCTCAAAATCTTTCATCAACTCGTTTTGCTATATGATGTTCATACGAGTATTTATGATGAGTATTTTATCTGTGTCATCTTATTATGATGAGTATTTTATTAAAAATTTTATCTGCGAGTATTCAATTCTTTTTAATTCGTAATTTTAAATTTAAGCAAAATTTGAGTTTGAATTCCAAAAAGTACGGAAATCTTTCAAATTATGCTTTATATAAGTAATTTCTTTTTCTTTAATCATTGTTAATCGCCTTCATATCTTAAAAAGGGTGTTAGAATTCCAGTAGAATTTTTGAAATATTCCAAAAGGCAGATCTAACATGTTTTTTTTAATCTTATTTTTACGTGATAACAGACAAAAAACGATATTTGAAATTACTTGAATATACAAAGTAACGTTTTTACTCCAGAGAATGCCTGAAATGTCCCTCAATGACATATAATTTTTTTTATTTTAATATTAAATAGAAACAGTCTAATTTTCTGAGATAAATATTTTGAAATTGAAATAAAATATCTAAAATCTTATGAATTGCTTTTGTTTTTTACTCTTTATTTTCAAACTATTTTAGTTTGAAATTATTAGGAAGTATTCAACCTTTTCTTAAACCTTTTTTGCCATTTATTTTTTAAATATTGCATAAAACGAGATAAATGAAACAAACTTAAACTGTATTTTGCACACACTATTTTCATGATAGGATTAGTTAAATCGTGTAACATTCTCTTAAAATTTTAAAATTATTTAATTATTGTAATTACTTAAATTTGCTTATTTGTTCGTACTAATTACTGAAATTCTTAAAGTTTTTACACATTTTAAAAGTGTTATGTTGTTCTTCGAAAGTTGTGTCTTAAAGATAACATAATGCTTTGAAGCGCGTAATAAACAGTTTTTATCATAGTTGTTGTGAATTAACAACATATTAAGTTTTGTGCATCTCTAATGAACTTCCTCCATGGTTTTTATAAAAATAACCAAGGGTATAAGACATAATAAGTAATATAATAATAAACTGCAGTTTTCAGAAGAAAAAAAATTCTAACTTAGTTTTTTGGAATTTTTAAAATAATTACCATATAATATTGTGCTTAGGTTCTTAAAATTTGCAAAAATTGAGAATTATTAATTTATTTCAATGAATTTTGAGTAAGGAAAAAAATATTGCCACATTGGCATTTTTTTAAATGTACAAAATATTTGTCTGTATCTAAGGCTAATCACTTCTTCTCTGTAAAATAATAAATACAGTTTTGTTCCAAATTTAAGATACTCCAGCTAAGCCATTTTTTGATTCATTTCTTTTTCTATTTTGCTTCCTTTCTGTCACTTTTTTTTAGAAAGAGCTTCAAAAATAGCCTTAAAGGGTAGTGAGGAAAAAGAGTTGATTATATTAATTACGTACCATTACATGTTTTTAACAGCCACACCGGCACTCAGTAACTAAAGGATATTGAACTTTCAGCCAATTGCAATTTTTCTTCATTTCCCAATTCTGACAATGCCACCGTAGGAGAACTTTATTGACAGACTTGTAAGGCTTACATATCATTCCTTTGGGAAAAGAACATGTAGGACGAGACGCACAAGAATTCTCTAAGAACCATCTTGGCCAAAATCGAGGACCCAAATCTCGCCACTTTTGCAATAAGGGGCAATGGCTTTGTAACCAAATCAAGTCTCGAAATCTAGAAGGAGAAAAAAAATGCAAAAGAATACTAGCAGTTTCTATTTTTTATTTTCATTTTGTGTGAAAAAGTTTCTAAAAAACAGATAGAAGTCCTTTTACGGATTTTATTGCATCGAATCACACTTACAATTTTTATTTAATATTCCAGTAGGACCGTAAGCATAAGAGATACGCTAGAGAAGAAATTCGTTTTGTATTTTTAACCCAGATGGAGCTGGAAAAACCGTCTCTTGCCTACTTCTCCACCCATCTTCCATCAATCGTCGTTTGAAGTTTGCGGAGTTAACTAGACTTAATATGCACTACTATATTTACTTTAATTTTAATTATACGATAAAAAAATTATGAACTTTTTTAATCTAAATTTCAATTATATATTGTTTTACCGCTATATTACTGCTATATTGCATTTCCAATTTAATCATGCAAATGTCAGTCATTCTGTTCATTTTGCATTGAAAATTTTTAAGCAAATATTTGTGACTGTAACGATTCTTGTTAGAATTTGATTCAAGAATGTTACCTTTTCTTTCTAAAGTAAATGATTCTTATATTTATTGCAATTATTAACCATAAACTAATTATCATTTAGCATTTGCACTCTTAAAAATTCCTTTGATAAAAGGGTACATAGAAAATCTATTGGAGTATCTAGGAAAGGGTATCGAGGGAATAAGGGTTTTTATAATTTTTTAAGTTGATATCAAGTAGCATGTTTGCATAAAGACTCAAATCTACCAATTAAAAATTAAATAAAAATAATTAATTTTGTTTATGAAAAAATAATGTAATTAAAATACAAATTTTAAAAGGAAATGTTTTTTTACAGAACAAAACCCATTCCCCTCTTGCTCCTTCGCTCCATTATTTTTAATATCTCTGAAAAAAATCTACTCTACAAACTCTTGTATCCTCCTTATGATTTACAAAATACATTCGAAAATATTCAACAAAAATAATTCGTACGTTATCGATAATTTCATGTAAATAATCATGAAATTATAAATAAAGTTATTGGAAGTATTTCACAATATTTTTTAATCAATTTTATTTAAAAAACATTTTGTTGTTTCAATTTTTTAATAATCGTGTTAATAATTTAAATTCAAATGTGAGCCTTTCATTAACATTATACTCATCTACAACATCTCTAAACAAAATGCAGTTAGTCTTTTAAATCTTAATTTGATTTTAAAAAATTAATTCGAATATTTATTATCAATTAATAGTTATCAAATATAAAGTGTTTATAGTAATTTTTTCAGCAAATACCACATAAATACGATACCCTGCTTTACATATAAATTCTCAAAATTCATATTAACTTTCACATTTTACTACTGAATTACGGAAAGTTTTTTTTGATTTTTTTTTACGCATTAGATGTTTTGTTTTGTAAGTAACTATCACGTTTTGTTAGAATTATGTACAATTTTTTATTATTTTTTTCATCTGTGCTCTTACTTTGTTTAATATTATTTTAATTCTGTTTCACATTTCTTGAAAATTCCATTTTTTCTATTTAATGTAAAAATAAAATTTCTTAAAAAAAATTATTTTGAAGCCATTGAAGAAAGTTTAAAAGTTGAATTTTAAAATTTTGGCAGTTTACTTGCGTGTTAATCACTTATTAGACCTTCTGAATCTCCCATTGCTTTGTTCGATTAGTATTTTGGGAAAAATAGAGCAATGAAAAAGGGTAATTAAATTAATAAACCATTAATCTCACAGAAAAGCATCCAATGTATTTCTTGTGTGAAAAGTGTGTGTATTTAATGTTGTTTTTATTAAAGCCCATATTTTGAGATTTTAGGGAAAACTATTATATTCCCTCGCTACCTTTCCATCGCTTTTTATATCATTTTATTCCAAATATAAACATTAAAGAGTTTTTATTAAACGCTTTCTATCATTCATTTTGAACATTAAACTTTTCTTTCCGGAACTCATTAATTTTGTGGTATTTATGAAGAAAAAAAACGAAATGACAGTGGTAAAAAAAGCTTTTTTCCTCAATCGACGGAAGCTTTTAATATGTTATTAGGAAAAAAATCTACATGTGTCAAAACCATGCGATTTTTTTACCTAATCGATTTTCTGAAGTTTATTTGTCTGTACAAATAATATATATATAATAAGAATTGATAGACAGATAGGGCAGAATCGAAAGGCAATAGCTCTGTTAATGTTTTGTAAATAAATAAAGTAACATTCGAGCACTGTGGGAGAATCTTGAACCATAATATAGTTCAAATTTTCTACAACTTTAATATAGTGCTTAGTGGAACCAATCTTATTTATGAAATCATGGTATAAATTGGAACGAAAAAATGACTTAATTTAGCATCATTCTAAAGTTGAAGTCAATTTTCACCTTATTAGGGTTTAAAATACCGANACTCTTTGCCTTCGAGCACTGTGGGAGAATCTTGAACCATAATATAGTGCTTAGTGGAACCAATCTTATTTATGAAATCATGGTATAAATTAGAACGAAAAAATGACTTAATTTAGCATCATTCTAAAGTTGAAGTCAATTTTCACCTTATTAGGGTTTAAAATAACGATATTGTAATACAAAACTAAATAATTTTTCGTCGTTTTATTTTTAATTCGCCCTTTTATTTTTAGTTCACAGTTAGCTTTTGATTTTTTTCTGGTGCTAGATTATAAACTGGAATTTTTGTTTCGTAAAAATCAGCTTTCTAAATATAACCTTGAGATTGAATTTATTACTGCATTACATTTGATATTAATGTTAATAATTAAAAATTTAAAGAGAAACACCACAATAAATTTTTTTAAGTATCTTTGTTGGGTTAAATATTTCGTGTTGTCATCCTATGGGATCATGGAGGTTGTGTCTCTTAGTAACCAACAGCATGGTGATGGCACTAATATCAGCAATGCAAATCGAAATTAAACCTTTTCGTCTCAGACAAGTTGGTACCCGTCGATCTAAAGCTCGGAGGGCTCCATGCCACCAAAAAGTTTTGGTAAATTTGAATAACGTTTTCTTACGATAACTTTCTTATGTTTGCAGACTCGATTGATCCGACAATATTCATTCAATTGAATTAAAAACTTAACTGCACAAAATCTCAATAATGTATTTTTATTTGCAAATGGGATTATTTTTATTGAGTTGACAAGTTTTTGATTAATTAAATGAAAGTCAATTGTTTATAAAAGTTAGAATAAATGCCTTTTTTAAATTTTAAACACGTGTAGTTAACGTCCGAAAAGGAGAACTTTTCTCATATTTTTCTAGAGATAATTTACAACAGGAAAAAAAGTAATTATCTTGCTAGATTAATGATTAAAACAACAAATTTTCTGAACATAAATTGCAAGCACTGAGTTTGATGAAGATTATATTCCAATTAATAGGACAGATTATAAAAGTGATGATAGTTGTTATCTTAAGACATCAATATCAATTGAGCTATGCTCGCACTCTGTTTAAGGCACTAAGCTGTCATCCTAAAGGACTGGGATTCGATACTTCGGCTTAAAGCCTAAGTAGGCCTAAAGCCTACATAATTCCAGATTGATGGGTACCACCTTATCTAGGAAGAAAAGTTGCTTACTGGGCAATGCTGACCAAATTACTACAATCATGCCATTTTTCACGAAATAGTGAAGTCTTAACTTCGGTGACCCTTACACCCTATATACACGAGAACTAAAAAAATGCGTCTTAAAGCACTCTTCTGATGCTACAAGTCTGAAAAAGGCTTAAAAAGGTTTATCAACCTTGATGTAAAAAACCCCACCTTGCAAGGATTAGCGAAAAACAACCGCATCACGCAAAGAGCCAATCATCGCGTGCTTGAATTCCGGCCTGACTTCAGCCGGCAATATTTGCCTGAATGCAGGCTAAGAAAATCGAGGTAAAAAATCAGGTTTTCGTTCGTCTTTTGACGTCATGAGTTTGATGTCGGGACTTGTGTAAATGTGGTATAATGGTCCTTAATGGGCTGTTGCTGAAATACTTTACTTCATTAAAAATAGTTGCCTTTATTGCTATATTTTGAGTAGTGTGATAATAACTCAATACTGACCTTCTTCTCATCTTGTTTCCCATTTTTAAACTAACTCTTTTGCCTTCTCCTAGTTTCATGGTGTGAAGATGCAACCGTTTGATATGACGGGGTGGAATGCCAACTGGTACCAAATGACCCGATCGGGTTTTCTTTATGCTCAATTTCACAGTTCCATTCGGATGTAGACGAGCAGCTGTTGGTTGTTGAGTACTCATGACTTCAGAATCGAATGAACTGCCAAGTATCCTCCGTAGATTGTAGACATCTAGATCACTAGGTTTTGGATCATAAAGATTTCCCTCCGGCTCAACAAGCCCTAATACAGGTAAGAGATCTGAAGCAGTAATTCTTCCTCCGAAACTGTTCGAAAATGGGAGGAAAGTAAATAGGAGACTGATGGTAATTGATTTCATGATCTGTAAAGGAGAAAAAAGAATTTATTGCCAAATATAAGCGTAGATTTTAAAACATTAAATACTCAAGCTAAACTTACTCTAACCCCAGTAAAGTGCTTAATTTTAGCTACTTTTCTGCTCAAATTGAACCACATTATTGTGTTATCAAATTTGAAAAGATTAACTTGAAAGGTTTTATAGTTCAATGATAACTTATAAGTTTACAGCACATTTTAGCGATATTACAGCATAGCTTGCACGCTGTGTTGAAATTTTCAACGCCACATTGTTCTTCTTAAAATTAGCTAATGTTTGAGAGCAGCTATTCAATTTTTAGCAAAATGTTCATTTTTTTGAAAAGCCTAAACCTAAGAAGCGTATGATCAAAACTACCAAAATGTAGTAAAATTTACTGCGTTTCTGGCTCTGTGGAAAGAACAAAAAACTCGGTAATTTTTACAGATATTGATTGATGATTTTGGTAAAATTAGCAATAAAATAAGGTTGCATGATGTGAGATAAAATTTGTTAAGTGTGGTAAAATTCGGTAAATTTTTAAGGATAACCTTAGAGCTCGGCATAAAACCAAATGAATGGTTTAAATACTGTACATTTTAGTTTTGATAGCTAAAATTATGCTGTTCTTTTTCTTTCTTTTTTTTAAATTTTTTTAATAGAAGCATTATTACAATATAGTATGGTAATTTGACCAAACTTTTTTACTCCCTGTATAATATAACTATTTTTGAGGAGCAAAAAATAATTTTTTTTATGTACAGAGAGCACTTATTATTTTTTGTTTTAATTTTAAAACGTAACTTTCGTTCAAAAAAAATTCAATATTGCTCGTCCAACAAGGAAAGCGTCCAATACTTGAACTATAAAATCGGTAGCAAGAACCATAATTTCAGAAAAGCTTGCAACAATCTTATTAAAGTGTTGAATTAAACCATGTTTCAGTTTAAGTTGAGCAATATTATCGTGTAATCAAACTTAAGAAAAATTCATTGTCACTATAATGTGGTTCAACACTGTGATAAAATATCAGCTGGCCGGGATAGCCTGGTTGATAGGATGTGGGATTGTTGGTTAGAATAAGAGTTCGATTCTCTCACCAGCCGAAGAAAGCCCGTATACTAAATGGCGACTAGTGACTGCGGGGGTCACAAATTCCTCCTAGTTCCCATAAAAAATTATACTTCTGGGGGTACTGAATTGGAGATAGATCGTTCTCTGGTTCAGGTCAAAATTACGATGAATGAGACCGCTCTATAAAACGGGCCTTGAGATGTGCGTATGGCTGAAATCGTATTTTTGGCCATAGATGGAGCCACTGAAAAACAAGAAACGCACTCTTTGCCTTAAATTCTCTTGGTTTCCCAAGAAGACTTGCTGGCATGGTAAGTAAGCAATCGAAACAACAACAGCATCAATGCCAGCAAATTTGAACAATATTATGATTTAAGACGTTCCAAAATTTCTTTATCTTCTCTCTTTTATGCTTTGTCTTTATCTCATCTCCATGCCTTCTGTCACAAGGAAATTTATCTTAACTTAATTCCAATAAATATATATATAGATATCAAAAAAAAAATTAGAAAACAGGGAAACTTCATTCCTTGCTCACTCCATTCACCAATCTCCGTGTTTGGTTCGCATTCATCGTTGATTTTCCCTTAAAAACCGATGGGTTTTTTTTTTAGATAATCTAAAATTATTTTGTTAATTTGATTTTTTTTATTACTGTATACAGGAACATTTTATTAATCGCAATGAAATGAATGATTACCTGGATTGGAAAAAATCAACTGTATTTGGGAAGAAAAAAAAAGAACAAATCCTTTAAATTTAGGATTACGGGACAATAAGAGAAAATAATTCAATAAGAACAATAAGAATAAGTAAAATAATTGTGTAGCAACAATAAGAAAAAATAATTCAGAAGTTATTTTACTGGTTGACGATACATAACGATTACGATATATCATTTTAGTCGCTCGAAAGGGAAACAGTTTTTACATCACCTAAATTAAGTTTTTTAAATTTTTAAAAATTTTAACATTAATGTTAAGATTTATATCTAACAACATCTAAACTCGCTCTTTAGTTACTGTTCAATAATTTAATAACTTAAGTAAAGTTTTCTGATGCTTATAAACATTTTAACATTAATGTTCTGATTTATATCTAACAACAACTAAACTCGCTCTTTAGCTATTTTTCAGCAATTTAATCACTTAAATTAAGTTTTTTTCATATGTTTAAATATTTTAACATTAACGTTAATAATTATATCTGACAACATATAAACTCGTTCTTTAGTTATCATTCAACAACTTTATCACTTAAATTAAGTTTTTCATATTTTGAAAAACTTAACATTAACTTAGTCAGATATAAACTTAGTCAGATAACTTAGTCATAAAAACTTAGTCTGATATAAATCTCAACATTAATGTTGAGATTTATATCTGACAACATCTAAACTCGCTCTTCAGTTATTATTCAACAATTTAACGATATAAACTTATCGTAAAAGTTTGTGAAATAAATATCATAAGTGAGATAAATAAACTTTCATTCAGTGATGGATAGTAAATGATAGTTATAAAAACAAAATTGCAGAAAATTGCAAAAATGAATTAAAAATTGCAATAACTCTCGACTAATTGGAATTTCAGAAGAAACTTGCATAAAATTCATAAATGAAAATGGTCCTTTCAGCTAGTCAAATTTCAACAATGAAGTTGTATTTTTTTGGTCTGCATGGTATTTTTTACTACAAGTTTAAAAGCTAACTTTTGGGGTCTAGTTTTATTGTATTTTTTAATTCTTGAACTAAATAACGAATATTAGAAGTTGTTTTTTTTATTTTTACATCTTTTTATAATATTTCCAATCGTAACTGTACATTTCTAAGTCTTTTAGTTTCTGCGCATCAAAGCAAAATGCAATAACAAATTGAACACCTAAAACAAAGTCGGCCTTGGATTTTTGTAATATAGAGTTGTTTAAATATTTTCTATTGTCTATGACAAACAACTAATTCAACACTCTTACAACCATAACGAACTATAACCACGTTATAGCATAATATTGGTTGCATTAGCAATTATAGCAACCATAATAAAATATAAAGTTGATCCATATTATCGTACATATTAAACTTAGATGCACGGTATTATGGTTCAAAATGAACGGAAATTAAATACCTCATCAAAATTGCAGAAAATTTGCTGCATATTATGGTTTACGGTTCCGATTTTGAGGTTCCACGTGACTACAACTTTTTAAGAGTGTAGTGTTACTAAATATTACAATTATTGATTTGAATTATGACTCACATAAAGTTGATACAATTGAACTAATATTATTGAACTAATATTAATTTGTATAATTAAATTTTTAATTATACAAATTTTGTGGTCAATTTACTGGTCAATTTAGTGTGGTCAATTTATTTTAAAATTATCTAGCTAACAGATTTGCTCTTGCCTATATTTCATTGATTTTGTTTACCTTAGAAATGTAAGTTTTAATTAAAAAAAATTATTTTTAATTCATTACGTCTTTTATTTTTATTTCGAAGCTTAGTTTTGCTTGATTATAATTTTTTTTTATTTAGGAAGTAAACAAAAGGTAATCGAAAGGAACACTCAAACTATTGCAAAAGTTTCATTACTAAAAAAAAAGAAGAAAAAAAAACATCTCAGTGGTATTGAAAATATAGTTCTTGAATTGTCTTTGATGTAGAAAAGTAAACAAATGAAATAAAAGAAGATGAATAATAACTTGAGATCTATTGAACTAAATCTTATTTTCAAATAAATCTCGCTTTAAAAAATATTGTTCAATTGTTTACAGCTGTTTCGAGAAAATAAAAAAAATTTAAGTAGTTTATTTGCAACTAAGTATCATAGAGCAAAGTATTTCTCCTTTTCTAAATGAATTAAAAAATTGTTTTACACGTAAGACGTTTTTTCTTCTAAAAGATCCTCTGTAAAATATTGTTTAGTTTTAATTTTTTTTTATAGTCTTTTATATTTAAATAAGTTTCTTAACATTTCCTAAGAGTGCAAACATTTTGGAAATTAATTATAAATAAAAGCCAAACAATAGATTTTGCACTTTTTTTTACTGTTTTTAGTTCCTTTAAATTTTCTTTTGCTTTTAAAATTAAAAATTTTAAAACTTTTAATTTTCGGAAACTAAGGTTTCAACTTGCAAACTTTAAAGACCTGTACATTTTTTTGCAACTAATATTTCAATATTAAATAGTTAAAAAACAAAACACCTTAACAGAAAAATATATATCTAAATAAATACCTGCCAATTAAAATGACGCAATCGAACATAAATTGAAATCTCATTCCAGTTTTAAAAGCATGCAACTTACTTTCCGTCGGTGCAATTTCAATTATGTTCTTTTTCTCTTTTAGTAGAAGATGAGAAAAATGATGCTTAAGAGTAAAAAGGATGCCTTGAGAGAGGATCTTGCAAGGATGCTGAAGATGAAGATAATATTTTCGAAGGTACCGCGGAGAGGTTGGACCACGCCGACGACGAGTCTAGACTATGGGACCCACCGATCAGGAGACAGACGACGGACGCCCACCCATTTCCACGACCCCCCTTCTGCTTTTTTTTTCGTAAATCCCTCGATCCCCGGGGTTTTGAGAGGTCGCAACCCTGAAAAGAAATAGGGGAATCTGATCGAGAATAAATTAATTGTATAAAATCCTTCCTATTGTGAAATTCTGTGCCAATAAAACTATCGTATCTGCTCGCATGAAACTTAGTTTTTTAACTTTTGAATTTTTCATTCTGAACAAGCTAAATTTTTTATTTTAATGTTCATCCAATTAAAGCTCTTCGCCATTTAATATTAAAGTTTGTGAAAACACGCAATTCATATATTTAATAAGTAAATTTATGAATTTATCTTCTAAATTCTACATAACTTACATTTTATTTTGCAAATCTTTCATTTAGTAGAAACAAATTATTATATTTTATTATTCCTATAGAATAATTTGTTTCTAAATAACTGGGCTATGTAAATTTTTTTCATTCTAAAACAAAAGTTTAAAAACTTTAATTAGAAAAAGATTCCAAATACTCACTTTTTTTTTTAATCGTTTGCCCACAAAGCACTTTTCGGTTTTTTTTTTTTTTTAAATTTTAAAGCGTTAATTATTGATAAAAAAGACGCATTAAGAAATTTTTTGTATAACGAATTTATTTATATCAATGATTTCTAACTTATGCAAAGGCTAAAAAGCTGCGTTTATGATTTTTCTTTCTTCTCTATTATTTTGTTATTTATTATTTTTTATGTTAAGGAGCTTATTTATTGAATACTGAGTCATCACATACATAACGGGAGAAATTTCTTAAAAAGTGTTTTTCCTTTGTAAGTAAATTTTCTATGACAAAATAAATAGGGCTTTAAATTACTATAGATATTTTGATGGAACTAATTCGAATGAAATAGAACTAGGGGACTCCTCCCTCTGCTCGCTAACGTTCGCCAATCCCCAGAAATGCTTTCGCAGTTCCCTTCGAATTGCTTCATTGCTCGAGCTTTACTGCGTTCATTCGATTTATTACTTCCGTTTAGATTTGTATACTTTATTAAAGATTAAAGTTTAAAATAAATGGTTTATAAAATGTCTACACCGTTCTTAGATTATTAAGCATCATTTAAACTCAACTAAACTAAAACTCAGTGGCTCGACAGCCATACTGGGCCAAGGCCTACTGTGCCCATCTCAGTTTTCTTGACCTTGGGCTCTGGGGTGCAGGAGCAGATGTTCCGATTAGGTGGTCAGCCGAACGCGAAACCCCCAGTGCTTAGTTTACAAGCAAGCTTGGTACTCATTTGTCGCCCCACTGAAGGGATGAAAGGCTGAATCAACCTTGCCCGGCCCGAGGATCGAACCCAGGATCTGTGGCACTGAAGGGCAAAGCGCTACCACTCAGCCACCGGGCGTCGTAAGCATTATTTAAATTACAATAAATTTAACATAAAGAAAATTTATCTCGAAATAAAATTTAACTTACGGCAAAATATTAGTTAGAAAAATTAACTTAAAATATGAAATAATGAAACAGCGTTTATCTGCTTTGCTTTATGCCAAAAGGTGAAAAGAAATTTCATCTATTTTATATCCACTTTCGTACAAGTGTTTTACATAATACGGATAATTTTATAATTTCTATCTCAAAAATTAAGTTTATGTATTTTCTTTTTTCATTCCACAACAAAATTTGAAATTAATTCCAAAAGTGCAAGTTTTTTTTAAAAAAAATTGTGTCTTACAAAATTTAACTCCTTTTTCCAACTTAAATCGTTAAAAGTCTTAAAAGAAAGACGAAAAACGAAATTTTTTGGATCAAAAAATTTATAACAAGATTTCTGAGAAAAAATAGAAAATTTGAATATTGGGTTTTCACATACTTTAACATTGCGGAGAAAGTTTCTTTTTTTTCTTTTGCCATTTCAATTTTTAATAATATCATATTATTTTATTATTTTTATATAATTTTAAAGAATATAATTTTATGTAACAAAATACAAAATTTGAACGAAATCGGTCAAACAGTTTATGAAGAATCGAATTTCAAGAAGTCCTTGCAATTAAAATTTCATTTCGCAAAACAAATCAACCAATTTCCTACAATTTTTGTATTTAGACACATAAAATTACACTCCTTAAAGCTATATAAAATTTGTATACTTCACAATCCAAACTGTTTTCAATTATTATTAAATCAAATAATAAAAAAGTAATTTTTGCATGAAATTATATTTGAATAAGCAAATTTGATGACTGTGTGCAAATTGTTTATCATTTTACTTAAAAGGCTGTCAAGATACGGCGGAAAGTAAAATTAACATTATGGGGCCCAAAACTCTCGACCGCTCTCCTGGCCAAACTACCATTTTTTCCCGATTGCAGTTACCCTCTGTATTTTGAGAGTCAGAAATCCAAACCCCTCGAAAAAAAGTGTATTTATTGAGAGAAAGTACGTTTTCGTGTCTAATTTCATAACTTAAAATATCGTCTGCACTCACTAACCAATTAGCGTTACCATTTGATAGTTTACTTCCCAAAAATTAAGTTTATGAATCTTCATTTCACAGCAAAAGTTTAAGACTGAAATTTAAAATTGATACTAAAAATGGGCTCTTTTTTTTTCTTTTGTCTTGTACCTATAAAATCCATTTCCTTTTCTAACTTAAAGTATTATATTAAAGTGTTATTATAAAAAAGACACGGCGAAAAGTTTATTGAATAAAAATGTTTTATAGAATGATTTTTGAGTTCTAAAACAGGTCCTTATAGGTTCACATGCTCAGCTCCCATTTTTTAAAAAAAATTTTTTGCAGGATACATAATGTTCTGCGTAATTTTTTTAAAAGAAAAATAGGATTCTAATTTTAAGGTATTGATGTAGAAGAAGCTTTTGATTTTTGTAAAAAGAAGAATTGAAAATCTTAAAATATTTCAGAACGCAAATAAAAGGAAAAGTTGTAAACGATATTTAAAACATTCAAAAACTTGAGTGAAAAGCGTAGACCCTAATTAAAACACTTAAAAAAATTTATCTAAATTTCACAACATTGATACAGAAATTTTTGATATACCTAAAACTGAGAAGCATAGAATATTTTGAACATTTAGTTTTTATTCATATTTCAGAGTTTTGAGAAAAAGGTTTAAACGTTAAAAACTTTTAAAGTATTTCAGAACACGTGAAGAATAAAAAGTGAAAACTATATTTAAAACACTAGATAAAACTGATCCAACTAGAAAAACTTTTTACCAATGAATCAACTGAAAAAATTTTTAAATTCAAATTTCACAGTATTGATTATGAATCACTCTGTTTTAATGGCTGAAATTTGCAGTTGAAAGTAACTGGTAAAGGAAATGATACATATTTGTGATAGCATCGTAATTGGAAGATCTGTGCCATATTTCATGAAAATTATTACACTAATGAATAAATTACACTAATATCTATTTTTATTCCCAGCTTTATTGATGCTCGTAAAATGAGGTAACATTAAACTAACAGATAACTGTGAGAACAGATTTCTCGTTTTGTAAGAGCTCTGTAAAAAATGGCAACACATTTACAGGTTTACAAAAATAGTTTCTTCTACGGGACATAATATACAAATTCTTATATATTAAAAAAAAATATTTTTTTTCCTGAGCATGATATTAATTTCTATTAAAAGTAATGCCATGTGGTTTAGATTAGCTATAGATTTGTCAATTACAACTGACAGTAGTTAGACAACAGTATAGGAATTTTCAGTAAGTTATATTACATATGAAAACGATTTAAATGTTTCTAAGATTCAATGTAAAAGTTGTTAACTGAATAAAAATGTTTTAAAAGAACCGAAAATGTATGTGATACTAAAAAATATCATATAAGCATATTCAAAATCAAAAACTCATTCTTACAATTGTATTTATTATAATATTTCTGAAAATTCAATTTGAAAAAAAAATGCCAAGATGCATAGAAGACTATATTAAATTTCTGTTTTGAAATCTTAAAGAACAATTATATCCACTTAAAAATAACAGAATTCAAAGTGACTTTTTTTTCAAATTTTACATTTTTGGCAATACTAAAGCTAATCAATAAAATGTTAGTTTGTCTAAACATTTGCAACCCTAGAAGGTATTATTGCTCTGTTCCTAAACCACTGCAACTCATGAACGAAGTAAGAAAAACACTTGGTCTCTATATTCGGGCGGCATGTCGTTATTTTACAATTATCGCAATAACGATAGGTAAAATATTTTAAGCGATATGTCGTGGATACGATAATGGTCAAAAATTATGAACAAGCAATAAATATCAAGATGTATAGACAAATTATATGAGGCCATTTATATGTACAGTACCCAATAGCAAAATAAAGTTTATTTTCACACAGCAGAAATCTTTTAATGTAAACCCAAAAAGGATTTTTGTGTGGTTTACGTACGTGTAAGCCTTCTAATCTTAAGACTAGATCTATGACAATCTGCTCTTTTCTACACACATTACCCTAGTCCTATTTTCTCAACTTCTTGCGTGCTCAGATGAAATCCACCTTGTCATGAAATTTTAATGGACAATACAATTTGATCCTATCGCTAGTGTGACGTCATTATGGAGCTAAGTGACCATTTTACTTAAGTGACAATTTCTTTTTTAAAAAAAAGCTTTAAAAGAAAATTTTTTATCCTTTAAGGATGAAAGTTTTGAAACTGAAATAATTTTGAGTCATTGAAAAAAGGTTTTTAGTACAAACATTTACGGGACAATAAAAAGAAAATTCCAACACAAGGTTCCCGTTAGATTACATGCTTTCTGGTATATTAGCAGCAATTTCTAATTTTTTTTTAAATTTTAAAGCTATTATACTCACTTAGAAATGGAAAAAAATAATTTTATGTTAAAGAAAATTATTTACGTTACAATATTGTAAACTAAATTAAAAAAACATACATATTAAATATTATTTTTAAATATTGACCATGATCGGGATTAGAACCCCGGATCATAGAGGACTAGTAATTTGTTGCTTCTTATCACTTAACCCTAACGGCCACATCACACCTGGCTGATAGATTTATTACAGGTTTTAAGTACTTTCTCGTCTTTTTCCGCTTTTCCAATGGAATTATATTGGGCCACATTGTGGGGCACCTAATTTGTCTATAATTATTGCCTTTAGAACTGTAATATAACATGTTATAACATAATATCTGGTAGAGTTT